ATATATATCATGAGCTGGCTAAATAGTCTTAAAAAGACTAAAAGTCAATAAAATAATAATAATAAAAAAAACTTTACAGTCCAGGGGACGATCGGGAAAGCGCTGGGAAAAAACTCGTGCTGCCTCCCTAGCATTGCGCCCGTACTCCCCATAAATAATCATCATTTTGGCATAATCAGAGGAAGAATCCATAACTTTACATGATAAATATTGATAGGAACAAAAATGGGCAGCAGTGACACAATGAAGTGGATTCTAGTCCACCAAATATTTTACATATCATAATATCAACAATGCATAATTAGTATCCTAGCAATTTAAAGAATTCCCTATGGCCATGTTTGGGATTGGTTATCGTTTTTTATTCTTGTCTTGCTTATCCTTTGCGTTGTAGCGCGAGTTCTAGGACATGTATTTTTCATAATTTGAAAGTAAAAAAATAAAATTTTAAAAATATAGGTGCATATTTATTTAAATGTTGTCAGGGTTGCGGAAATATTTGAGCTGAGCAATTTTAATAAATAATAAAACCAATTAAGAAAAATAATAATTTTTGTAAACAAAAATTTAATATTTAAATAATTTTGAAGCTATGGCAATATTTGGTTAATCTTATAAGATATTCAGGCCAATTCACTAACATCAGTCGTTAACGTTAGCCACTCGAATTAGTGGTTATTCAATCGGCCACCACTCGCCTGTTATCATCGTAACAAAAGTAGAACTTTTAATAATCAGATGTCAAACGGTTAGGTTTCAAACGAGAGTTTTTGAGAATTAAGCCGGAAAATGTTAAAAAATATCGAAAAAAAAAACGTGGATCGATTTGTTGTCTTGTTGGGTGTATTTCGAGAGGAAGTCCTGGGTTGAGTTTTTACCGGTTTTCCAATAAACAGTGTTAATTTGAATAAAGAAATACAGTCTCTGTAAATATAAATACCTATTAGATACAATAAATACATATTTTAGTAGTGATTAACGTGAAAAGTGTAAACATTTCAATACAGTAAAAATCGTCTAAATTTAAATAGCATTAAGAATTATTAAAAGCGTTGATTAAGAATACTTTAAAGTCTCCACTTGGTAAAATACCATTATATTATGTATTATATATAATAGTTATATTTTGTTGTTTAAAATGCAGTTGTCGGCGTTTTTTAGAGAACTCAAATAAAAAAATGATTGATTTTGAGGTTATGTTCGTGCAAAAATTATTTTTTACCACATTAAAAATGTCCAAACTTGAATATAAATTATATTAGGTAAAATTATCATTAGTTAATTCTGCACCAACAAATGTACTTACCGAATTGGATCCTTTGGCAAAACATGAAAATGCAACGTTTTAGTTTATGAATTTTATTTACAATTAAAAACACAATAATTCACCATGATCCCTTTGATAAAATACACATACTAACGTAACTATATAAGCATTTAAGTGTTGAGTTTCTTAATCAATGATGGCAGGTCTTCTTCGCTAGAACTCATTTTCAAAACGTAGGAAGAATTTCAAATTTATGATAAACATTCTGACAGCTTATAAAAACTGTTATGTTTGTATTACCAAAAATACCATAGCAACAAAGCCTTGTCAACATATACTAGGCCACCCAACACTTAATATTTTGTCATAATTTTATAGCCCCATACCGGGTTAGTACGTCTTAAAACCGTTCAATGGTAATAGAAAAAACTATATACATATCTTAGGAGGAAAATGCGTTTCCTCCCTTGAATATGTAATGCCCTTCGCTTCGCGTCGGGCATCAAACCATTCGCCGGAGGAAAAGCACTATTTCCCTCCCATGGGATGTAAATAGCTATTTAATTGTTTCCTTGCAACGTAAAACACAAATAACGTACGCGATTTAGCTGTGCAATTGAACAAAATTTGTCTTTTGTAAAAAAAAACTACCTATTTATTTAAAAATGATGTATAATCGGTGATTTAAATTTATTGATGACAATTCTTAAAGTCACGCAATGCATTCCACCAGATGTCGCGCGCGTTGCGAAAACCCGATACTTATTTATCGTATAGTGTGGCAATATTGGAACCATAGCTAACTTGGAAATATATGTGTTTAAAAACTATATTTCTTTTAAATCGTGTAAATGAAATAAAATTAAATTTTCAGCTTAAAAATATATGGTTACATATTTTACCTTCAAACTTTCAATACCAATTTTCACGAACTCACACGATTATCTTCAATTTTTATTTACATTAAACGTGGCTAAATATGAATTTTTGAGGTTATGTGTTCAGCCGGCAAAGTAAAAATCTGTAATTATTATGGACTTTTCGATAAATTTAGATAAAATCAAAATTACGGCTGTTATTCGCGAATTCCCCCCTTAATCGAAAACATGGATTTAAACTTTCTAAGTATATCATAGCCTATGATAATAGGTTTAATGGTACCAGTCAGGGTCCTCGCAAAAAACTGGACAACCAGTGGTACTGGACTCCAGTATCTACACGTATTTTTTGAATTTTTAAGGCGATAGTTTTTAGGTTTTTATACTAGGTACCTACAGATTTTTTTGTACCTATAGGCACAATCCATACAATGTGTGGATTGTGCCTATAGGTATATACTCGTATACATATATGTAAGTGCATATTTTGTAAAATGAAACGAAGTAGCTTGTAATTATACCTCAGACTGCAATGAAGGTTCGAAAATATTCCATGAATATGCCCTATCGCCTAGGAATAATCCGCTTCATTCCAGGAATATTAATTTGGAATATTTCATAGAATGATCCTCTAAAACTTCCAAACACCATCTAAAAACATTCCCAGTAAATATTCATTAATTAAGTAATTAAACTTTAGTTGCAATACCTCTTACCGTTGCTTACGCACGCTTGATAACTATAAATACCGATAGGTTAAAAATATCAGTTGGAGATGTGCGTCTGTGATGGCACAGCTAAACAATGATTAGAGTGGGACTGGTCTACTCAGTAACTAATAATGGCTAGTTAAGTTAAGTTCCTGGGTACACTGTTCAAAATTTCATGACCATTTTAACACCAAATTAACACCATACGTGGTCTATATCGATACAAACCAAAATGGTGTTAAATAAGGTTCGTTGGTCCGGTGTCAATTCAAATACTAAAATGGTGTTAAATAAGGTTCGTTGGTCCGGTGTAAATTCAAATACTAAAATGGTGTTAATTTAACTTTCACACAGTATTAAAATAAATTTTACCTGGTGTAAATTGAACTCCTTTTCAGTGTTAAATATTATTTGTTTGTGGTCAAATTATCATACTACACAGAAAAAAGGAAAAAAAGGAAACGGGAAGTTCCTTGACGCATTACTAGTATATTACCAGTGGTATTATTCCAGAAAATGGAACCTTCAACTCGCTAGAGATAATGTTTTTAGTGCGTTCCACTAACTTAAAATACTTCAAGTATTGACAGCTGTTTCCACCTATTTAAGGTCTCTTTAGTATCGAACAACTTGTAGTGTCACACCAAAGCAAAGGATTACCTTAGTTTATATATTCTTCATGTAAGTCAACAGAGGCGAGATTTAAGAACATCACGTGATCCACACCGCCTTTGCCGCGATCGGTACACATTTTCAACCATAATTCATGGTGTTGGATTTTGACACCATTTTAAGATTGCTTTTTACACCACAGATATTTTAAACAGTGTATAAGTGGCCATAATAGCTAGGAGTAATCCCCAAATTATATTAAGGGACATTCTCCTAACAATACCCAAGTCTTGCCGCTATATGGAATATTCTTTTTATGATGACTGAATTAACCAAAAAGCGGACATTTGATTACGCCAGGAATATTCCTGGCAAGATTCTGGTACGCTTGGAATAATCCTGGGAATATTCCTGACATGTGTCTATTGTACTATTATTATTGGTACAAGCTATAAAACCGTAAATAACTTGATCAGCCTTTATTAACGTAAGGAAATCGTATAAGAAATCGATGACTTTTGGCAATAGTTAAACGAACTTTGCTACAAGCTTAGTTTTCGGTAAACCAATCTTTAAAGGTACCTAGGTTAATACCTCCAACCTTTTTTTTTCGTTTTATGTGTATTAATAAAAAAAAATTAATGGATAGATAAAATTTTATAATAATAATATAAAAATATATTTACAATAAGTACAGATTATACTGTTGAATTATATCTAATTAAATATAAATCTTGGGCAGTTACTCCAGTCAAATGTATTTTTTTTTTTTATTAAGAAAACCATAAAAAAGTGGCTTTGCCGGAATTCCAAATTTAAAGTCAATAAAAGAGACTAAAATGTACGAGCCCTGCGGTGCCCCGTTTTATATTAGTTAGCCCAACCATGAGAAAAGTTATATTAAATCAAAACGCAATCTTCAATACAGAATTTAATTATAACATTGTTTATTATTACTTAGTCAGTTTACAATTTTCTTCAACAAATTAAATTATTTTTTTCTACGACCACTATGTAAAAGTCACTTTTCATGACGGCATCGTTGCTTAGAAAATGAATCTTTTCATTGGCAAGGCAAAACACGAATGTAAAGTGACATTTCTCTGTGAAAAGTGACAGGTCTGTATGAAAAGAACCGGAAAGCATCGTTTGACATTCAGCTGTCAAAAAAGTTTTTAGGTTATTTTGTTTTGTATTTAAAAATAATAAAAAATAAAAGGGTCGCAGAGAAAACATTGTGTTATACTTGTGAGAAAAGCTTTCTTCAAGCTCGTGTTAATGCACACTCGGCCTAACGGCCTCGTGGACAACTTAAAAACTCGCATGTAAAAGTCGCTTTTCAACACTTGTAAAACAAATAACTATTGTTGTTGCTGGCAGAAATAAACATGTAGGTATTGGAACTTCTAAAATTTTTAATTTAAAATCTATTGTAAATAAAACATTAAAAATAGAGTTATAAACATTAATCATTTCAAAAAAATTTGAATTTATTTTTTTAATTTATAATCTTCTATAATAACAATATTAAAAGTACAAAAATTATCTTGGTATACCATTCAAAATATCATACTTTCACACAAAACAACCAACCTGTCGCTAAAAAACTAAAAACTGGGAAGAAACTGGAACATTACTAACAATTACAGGGCCAACTAATATGAAACGGGGCTCTATTTCTTGATTGATTAAACTAAGACCCAAGATACTTACAATAAAATACATAAACCCTAAAAATATCTTAAATCTAAGTCCCTCCCGTAACCACGACCGCCTTATACACATACAAATTTTGCACCATCATAGCAGGCCACAAATACGACTTGACAGTGTCGCTGCTTCTGTCGGAAGAATGATGCCTCTGGTGCTTATCGGGTTGCATACGACCTGGCGTTTGGAAATCTGTGTCCAGCTCGTACGCCGGAACCTGGTTCACCAGACTCCAAGCCACCTTGGTGGCTTCCCCAACGTATCTTCTTAGTGGGGCGCAGGTTTCTAAGCATTTGTATTCTCTGAGGGTGTCGCACACGAGGGCCAGCACTTGATTTTCAGCGTCTGTGAGAGGGAAATTGTCTGCTGTAGACGCGAGCGATCTCATGATGTCAAAGCGTAAGGTTTCAGCCGTTGGTGATCTGCTGTCTATGTGGAGGGTTCTGAATGTCTCGCGGATTTTGATTTCACGTTGATTTTTGCAGGTCCTGAATGCGAGCTGAAAGTATTGTTAGATTGTTACATGTTATAAAGTTAGCAGCAGAAAATTTACTTTAAAAAGACTAAACAGAAATTATATACCAATGTTTGGGGGCCAATTTTACCCGTAAGATTTATAAAATCTTGCTTCTGGTGTTCCAATATTTTTTGAGAAATTTCCTTTAACAAGAAGGGCATAGTAGAGATACACTTGATAACTTAATAAAAAATTTGGATAATTTCATTAAAATTTTAAAATCAAAATTCAAGTTTTATTTAGATAAACGGTATTTTGTTTTGGAAAGGTGAAGGAATCAGGTCTTTGAACTTTTTGCAATTATAAATATGGGAAGTTATAACAATGGGAATAAAGATTAATAATTCTTGCAAAGAATCAAGTCAACTTAATTATTATATAAGAAAAACAATATACAATAAATTTAAAAATATTAATAAAATTAAAAGATTTGAAAAGATTTTTCTCACGATTAATATTATTGTTTTATAATTTGTTTTTCAATACATATTCATTTTTTACAATATACATACAGGGTGTTTCAGTTTTTGTCGCCTAAGTTAAATTTAACACCTGGTGAAAATATACATGTATAAGAATAGAAATAAATCTTTAAATAGCAATCTCTCTAAAAATGAAATAGTCAAAATTCTACTATTTGAATTAGTACCAGCAGTTTTTACTAATAAAATAGTAGTTTTCAGTGGCATATCTCAGTTATTAGACATGGGACCCACATCAAATTTATATGAGTTTACAATGACATTATATAGACAAGTTCTGCGCAAGCAGAATTTAAATTGAAGTTTGCGAAAAAAAGTTAGTTTTTAAGTGTGCCCCCCAGCCTCCTGCTCCCCCAAATTAAGATAATTCAAATTAAAGTGGTAGAATATTTAATTTACTGCAGTTTATCGACAAATTTCAAGAAAAACAGGTTTTATACCATTTTAAATTTTTATTATTTCTTAAACTAAATTTAAAAAAAATAGAAATGGTATAAAATCTGTAATGCTTGAATTTTTTTGATAAAATTTGAAATTTATCGATAAACTTCAGTGAATTAAATATTGTACCACTTTAATTTGAATTATCTTAATTTGGGGGGGCAGGAGGGCTGGGAGGCTGTAAATTCATTATATATTTTATATATATATATATTGGTTGGATAACTTTTTTTTATGAGTCAGCCCTTTTTTCTTCCTACTTTTGGCGATTGACTCGGAAAAATAAAAAAAAAATTTCAAAAACTGTCCTTTGACGACTCCTACTGGTGAACCAATGCGAGTTACAAAAAAAACTCAAAAGCAATTTTGAAGAGGGTGAAATTCCCCACAAGGTGTATCAAACTGATTTTCAATATTGTCAAAGGTGGGTAAGCATTAGAAATTTGAAAAAAAAAATATATTTTTTACATGCATTTCCAACGGTAAAACTTTAAATTTAAATAGTTAGTACTTAAAATTGATATTAAGAGGTCAAACTTGGTGAGAATTTTTTTTCTATATGCAAATTATAATTTTGCTTGAGCACCGAAAAAAAACATAAACTGCAGAAATGAATCACCCATATTAGGGTGATTCATTTCCGCAGTTTTTGGTTTTTTTCGGTGCTCAAGCAAAATATTAATTTATACCTATAGGTATAAAAATCAATGTTTGTTTGTCCTTTGCGTTTCTATACCATACATTGTAATAAAACTTTGGTAAGTGGTTGTGGGCACCCCCTAACCCCTAAAGGCTTGAATGGTCAAACGGCTTTTACGCCTAGTTTGACACATGGGGAAGGACACAGGCCACTACCAGTTATACTCTTGGGTGTGCTGATGGTTTTTTGTTGTTTGGTTGGGTTGGTTGGATTGATTGTGTTTGTTGGTCGGTGGGTGGGGTTGGTTTTATATTAAAGACCTTTTTGCTTTGAGAATTTATTGCTTTAAGAAATGTTTGTATCAAAGACATTTTTGCGTGAGCAATTTTTGATATAAAAATTAATTTCCTTGAGAAATTTTTGCACTGAGAAATTTTTACGGAGAAATTATTTTTGAGAACATAAGACATGGAGCCAGAGTAGAGTGATATTATAAATTAAGACATAAAATGTAAAATAAGAAGTTACAAATCTTTACCAGTAGTTTTATTAAGGGGAAACCCTTAATGTTTACATATGTATGTATGTTTCTCATCCATCCGAAAAACATTCTACATCCTAACCATTGTTAAGCGTAATTGATAAATATACTTTGATAAATAGGCTAAAAATAGTTTTGGATATCCTGAAACAACCAATCTAGTTACTATTATTGATAACTCAACCGTGTTATAGTGGTTAGCGCAATGTTTGTCTGAATTTTACAAGCTTAATTATTGTTGAACTGTTTATTAAAAAAAAGTAAACAAAATTAATAATAATTATTAAATTATTTATAATATTTTTTATAATTTTGCCTCTTTACTTTTTATAAGAAAAGGTGTCTAGATGATTGTCTAAAATAAATAATTAATTGTTTGCCAAGCTCTCTGAATAATAAAATACTAAATTAGTAAAGTACTAAATCAAAAATAATTAAATAAAAAAAAAAATATTAAATAACACATAACCCCCTACCAAACTTAAAACTTTTTATATTGTGAGATAGGAGCGCCCGGTCAAAACCAAACCTGATCAAATTTTTCAGGAGAGCAATAAATTGTTTTTAAATTATGTACATTTAATTTTTACAATATAAGGCTTGTTTCTGTATCCTCTTGGGCTCCCTATATATGCTATAGCACTCCTGAGCAATCATGATTAAAATAATTTCAGATTTAAAAAAAACAACTTTTAAGAATGGACATGTTTGTTTATGACCAGATTGCATGTGAATTATTTGTTTTTGATTCGAATTTTGATAATTTTTTTTTACTTTCCTACATAGGTATTCGACTCGCATAATGCAAAAAATAAGTTGTTTGCGACATGAACTCAGTTTAGCCCCTATACCTCTGGATTTTTTTATACAGTGTGTTCACTGTTGCAAAAGAAAAAACTTTTTATCCGAAATCGACAGTAAAGTAGTCAACAATCGGCAGTAAAGTAGAACTTTACTACATTTTAAGATGTGTTTACTGCTCCTCAGCAACAACTAAATAATATATAAAAAAGCACCGTTGCGGAGGTCGATTGGACCCTTTTATAAATTGTTGTTAAATAAAAATAATAAGTTAATTTTATTAATTAGATTAAAAAATCGCTGCGGTGGGCAAATATATAATAACCGTCGCAACAAACAGTATACGTAAACACTTCCTACATTCAAATGACATTTGATTTGATCATCAAATGACATTTGATTTAATCATCAAAATTAATTATTAGTATTATTAAATGTGATTTCGGATAAAATTTAATATGCACCTCAGCATTAAAGTCATTTTTTATCACTCACGTGGTTATTTGCCTCGGCTTTTGCCTCGGCGTATAATTTCCACATTCATGATAAAAAATACGACTTTCAATAAAATGTACAGGCTGTTCAAAAATTAAGAAACATGAAAATGTTTTACGAAAAAAAATCATTCCTCATAAAAACTTGGACAGTAACTATTTTGCATTTAGTATATTTCTTATCAAGATACGGTTTCGTGGTTTTATTATGTCTACGTCGATAAATAAAAATTAAAAAGACCGCATATTCCGTTTCAATTTTTTCTATAATTGTTTCTGACAAGGGTTCCGACAAAACTTTTCATTGTTGAAAGATTTCAATTATTTCTCGAGAGAGTGGAAATTTCGTTTAGAATTAAATTTCAATTAAACTGACTACTAAAATTAAATTGGATGATGGAAAGATTCTTGGGCTCGAAGAAAAAACTTACCACGACAACAGAAAAAAGTATTTTCGACTTTAGCTGCGTTGCATGGACCAGATCTGGAAGGGAATCCAGCGCTTCCAGTGCCCGCGGCCTACTCTGGTAATACAAAGCGCCGTATCGACCCAAAGCGTCTTTTCTGTAAAAAACAAATACATATAATAGGTGATTATTAAAAAGCGAAATAAAAATATTCCGTTTTTTGGTTGACAGCGTTTTAATAAAGAGTGCTTAATTAAAAATAATTAAAATTATTATTTATTATTAAAACGAAATGAAAAAATAATATTTTACAAATAAATTAATAAATATACTTGAAATTAATTATTTTTTAATATTTCATTTATTATTTTGTTTTAGCTTTATTTCTTACAATTATTTTTATTCTATGTTTTTTTAAACATCTTAATTTTTTAGGCCTGTTAAAACAAAGATTCACATTTCACCCGAAATTTACTAGCTGTTTTATTTACCTACATATTCGGCATACTCTCTAAAAATGAATTTATCAAAAATGACTAGAAAAAGCAGCCACTAATAATTCCCGTTAACAGCAATTTGTATTCTGAATATTTAGAATGTTGTCAAAAGTTAAAATTATTTTTATTCCATGTTTTTTTAAACATCTTAATTTTTTAGGCCTTTTCAAACAAAGATTCATATTTCACCCGAAATTTGACCATTTTTTTAATCATTCTTATTATTTACCTACATATGCATACTCTCTAAAAATGAATTAGTCAAAAATGACTAATTTTCATAGAGAAAAAGCAGCCCCTAATAATGCTCGTCAACAGTAATTTGTATTCTGAATATTTAGAAGTCAATTCCTATGTAAAATTGTCCGATGATTCCGAAAATGCTGTCAAAAGTTATAAAAGTAGAACAGTTTTTGTTATTTTTTTATATAATATGGAATTGACTATATCTTAAAAACTGCTCTACTTTCATGGAAAAATTACAAGGCAACAGCAATTATTTTATATAAAGACCCATAGGACTACGTATGGTAAATTTATGCCCTTAAGTAGAATCTGTTCCGAGGCAAATGATCTAAATTTAGATTTTTTCAATTGTTCTCTGACGGTCTTTAAAAAGAAATTAAAAATATGTAATCTAACTTATAAGTAAGCAATACATGATTTATTGTAAATTGTAATTTGTATATGGCTATCCGTTAATAAAGTTATTATTATTACAGTTACCTATTAGTGACTGCTTTTTCACTTTGAAAACTAGTCATTTTTCAAAAATTATTTTTGACTAATTCATTTTTAGAGAGTATGTTTTTTATTTTTTCATGTTTTTTCAAATGTTTTTTTAAATATTATACAATTTTTTATGGAAAGTAATTAATATTAATATCAGCAATATAATTTTTCTGTAACAACTAAAATCTGCAAAATTATTTGTTTACCAACCTAAAAAGTTTCTGATTCTGATTTAATGATTGTAACATATAAAACTGTAGTTAGCAAAATAAAATAATTTTATTCAACACCTATTTCATTTCTTAACTAAAGGCGAGGTTAAACTTGCTTGATAGCTGTAAGATGTCAGATAAAATATTAAATAAAATTGGCTTTAAATTCCTTGTGGTGGGTAAATAAAATATTGTATGCGAATATTGGTCTGAAGAGGAGATCGTGTTACCGCAAACGCAAATTCCAGGCTCTAGGAATCTCCTATTTCTCCCACTATAGTCGCACAATAAACTATTGTCGGTATTCTGAACTTTTGAGAAGTATATCAATATCTCACACAAGAGCGTCGCCAGCCAATGGGCCAGGGGGGACAGAAATGAAAGTTTAGCCGAAACCGGATATTTAACAGACTACCTTTAAATCCCCGAATTTCCTAGTAAGAAGTAGGCTTCGGCTTAACATTCGGCTCAATTTTAGCCGAAGCCATAGATTTATTTCATCCTTATTTCACCTTGGACTTCGGCAGAATGTCTTAAATTAACCGAACATTGCTTCGGTCGGATACTACAATTGAGGGGCTCGGTGCAAGAACCGGGTATCTCCATATTTTCTGCTAAATTGAGTTAGGTATATGAAGATACACCCTTCAGTATTCCGCATCGTTCGGTGCACAAACCGTGTAGATCCACGTTAGCTATAACTAAATATATCAGATACAGGAGAAATAAAAATTAATGAACATTTTTCGAATATGGACCGAGCCCCTCAAATGTATGCATCGACTCGCAATCGAATTCTGAACTTTTTTTGCTGTTGCCTGTGAGACTGAATCGTTTTTTCTCGAATCCCGATGGTTGAAAATCGATAACGGTTGAAAGTCGAAATGTTTACCAATTTTCGTCCAATATACTCGACCAAATTTTTCCCGTTTGCCGGAAATCGAAATTTTGGGAAAAGTTGCTTCGGGATTCGACCCATTTTCAAAAAACAAATTTGATGACCGTCGACGGTCATCAAATTTGTTTTTTGAAAATGGGTCGAATCCGTTAAAAACTTTTCAAAAGGGAAATTGGGCTGACAAAAAAAACAATTAAAGGGTAAAAGAATGCAGTTTAACGTAGTAAAGGATAATTATCATCGAATTAAAAAAAATGGCCGGTTAATTTTTATTAATTTAAAAACAATCGGTTTAAAAATGAAGTTGAAATTTTTTTACCCAAAATTGTTAAAAATCTGATATAAAATCAATCCGTAAAAAAAATTCTTGCTCTGGGATCATGATTCCTATAGGAATAATAAATCGCACAATAAGGGCCAGAGCATTTGATTAAATTTGTTCTAGCCTCTAGAGGGGACCGTACATATCGCCAAAATCTATTATTTACTAAAAATGGCCAATTGGTCAGCGGAATAATAACACAAGTATACACGGTTTTAAATCAACCAAACGTTTTTTCTAAGGTAATATGCCCCTGAATCAAAATCTCATTTAATTTAAGGTTATTTTTTAATTATCTACAAGTTCATCCTGAAAGTTCGATTTTATTAAATAACTTGGGAAGAAACAAGTTTTTGCACAAAATTTAAATTTTGTTTTTTTTAGGCCGTGAAAATTAAATTTTTTAAAAAAATTACATTCGTTTTTGCGCCTTAGTGTATTCACGTTTAGTCTTTAACCAAGCATTGCTGAACCCCAAAAATAAAATTTTAAATTGAGAATTTTTTACTTTTTGAACTATCTGAGGACACACTGTATATTAACGGTCGTAGTATAGGAAGGGAAAAAGATAAACCCTAAATTACTTATTAAAAAGTACCCAAAATGAAAAATAAAAAAAAATAACCTTGTCTTAACGACTCCATTTAAGAAAGTTACGTGTGTGCAAATTAATATTTTATATGGAAGTTTCCCGGCCGTCTGGACTCGTCCCACAAAGTACGTGTTTTTCATTACCTAAGGGACGACTCGGTGGCCCGAAAGTAGTTTTCCATTTGACAGCTGGATATGCTCGGGGTCACTTTGGCACGTTAATACTTTATTACGTCGTTCCTGCGGTGCTAAAGTCGCTTTATGCTTTTATTTCCTAATGGAAAAAACACCACCCGTAATGAATGTAGCTTGTAAAAACAGAATGAGTTTTTTGATTTGTTATGCAGAGATAATCAAAACCAATACCACCTACTACTGTAAAACCCAAAAGTATCTAAAAAATGTTTAGCACAAAAATTGTAGATATTAAACTATAGCCGGGTTATGTACAGTGTATTTACTTAAGTTGGCAACATATGGCAACATTTGTTATTATTAATCTAAAAAAAAAGATATTCTTCATAAAAAGTTCTGCATGTTCTAAAATCTACAATCATCGACTAAAAAACATTTCAGTCGTATACGCGGTTTGTCAAAAAATATAAATCTTACTCAAGAGTAAACTACTAGTAGTATACAACTTGTATAATACAAGTATATAAAGGTATACCTTTATATAATAGTATATTATGTATCAAGTTTGATAAACGCCATTTTATACACGAATTTAATTTAGGCACGAGCGAGCTTCCGAGCGAGTGCTTAAGTTAATGAGTGAAGAAAAGTTTATAAACGAGGTGCATACTATACTTTTTCTACGACAAATACTTTATTATAATTTATTATTATCTTAAAATGATTTAAATCAAAAATTTGTATAGAGCGCCATCTATGAAACAACAGGGGAAACAGTCAAATGTCACATTTTTACATTTTATAAACACAATTATAAAGGTTATAAATCGAAATATATCTTGAAAATTGACAGTTTTTCACAGTGAAAGTAAAGGAAATGTTTTATGAGGACTTTACAGTAGAGTCCGTGCCCGAATTTAAGTTATAATTTACTGCCGGCGAAATTAATATAAACTTTTCAAATATTGGCGTTGAGAAACCATTTAATATTTTTGTATTTTTGTATTGAGTTAATAAAATAATTTTCACATTTAGTATTATTTTACAAGAAAGGCACTTTATTTTTACGATTGTATGACATTTGACAACTGTCAACTAACTTAAAACTAACTTCAGGCCGTGACTAAAGCGCCGTAAAGACACAACTTGTCAATGTGTATTTAAAACGTCACTTAGTGTCATGGAAACATGTACGATAAAGGGCGTTTTAAAGGTGGGAGTAGAAAAAGTATATATTTGACAATATCGAAAATTCTTATTAAAAAAAGTTGATCAGAACTAAAAACTACGTTCAACTATGCAATTACGTCCATTTACATGGAAAACATTTTTTCTTTTTTGTTTACAATAAGAATGCAATTGTAACTGTAGTTACATGTAATCTAGGATGCACCGACAAACAAATGATTTGTTGATAGCAACAAATGTTTGACATTGAATGTCAAAACATCAGAATTTGCTTATTACTTTATGAACGGAACGGAAAGGTTATCATGTTTGTAATCAATAAAAAAGATAAATGTTCGGTATCGGTAATATGAGAAAAATTTGTAAAACAATTTTTAAGTAGAAGGATATAATTGCTTATTAAAACATAATTTCTATGTATAATTAGAGTTTTCGATATTGTCACAAATAAAGGATCTTTACTCTTGTACTAAATTTATATTTTTTGTCAAACCTCGTATATGACTGAAAACATTTGATATCTGATGATTTTATTTTAGATTTTAGAAGATGAAGAACTTTTCTTCGTAAAATTAATAATAA